CGAGCAAGGCACAGAAGATCGAAATCGTTGTTGAAACGGCACGATGACGAATCCGTGAAAAAGATCATCTTTTCGGATGAGAAGCTATTTGTGGTGGAAGCAAAACTGAACGCTCAAAATGATAGAATGTATTCTTTGGCCATCGAAGATATACCAGAAAATTTCAGAACCGTTCAACGCTTCCAGAAATCGAGTTCGGTGATGATATGGGGAGCTATCGGTCACAATGGCAAAATTCCATTGAAATTCGTCGATAAGGGGATTAAAATTACTGCTCGTTATTACCAAGATGAAATTTTGCGCTCCACGTTGAAGCCCAACGGTCAGTGGACATTTCAACAGGATTCAGCCCCTGCCCACAAGGCGAAAACGACGCAAGCGTGGTTACGATTGAATTGTCCAGATTTTATCTCTTCTGAAGAATGACCGCCGTCGTCGCCGGATTTGAATCCGTTGAACTTCTGCATTTGGGGAACTTTGGAATCGGTTGTTAATGCGAAGCCACATCGCAGCATTGAGTCTTTAAAGCGAAAATTGGTTCAAGAATGGGATCGTTTAGATATGGATTTGGTGTGTGCTGCGATCGATTCTTGGCGAAGACGTTTAGCATTGGTTGTGAAGCATAAAGGTGGCCGATTTGAATAAACTTTTTTTTATTTTGTTCCAAATCTATTTCTGCCTCATTGTGAAAAAATCTTTGGACTTATCTTTTATGATTGTGAGATAAAGATCAACGAAAGTCCTGCAAAATTATCTGGCCCACCCTGTAAAATATAACATTATTTAATTTTTTACTTGCCTGGGTTTGTTATTTGCTTGAATCTTAACAACAGATTATCTTTTTTTAATAATTGTAATAAATAACAAAATGATTTAATAGGTTTACATGGTGTTAATTTCAAGATATATGACCAGTAAATATTTAACAAATAGTATAAAAATACAAACATAAATTATTTTATCAATATATTTATAGTTCGTTCAGAATAAAGCACAAATAAATCTTCTTCTCGTGCACTTTTTAAGGTTGGTAATTGAAGAAATAATTTATTCACTAATTGTTCAACTCTTTCTATTACATATGACAATTCACTACTACAATAGTCACTAATAGCACTTATAACTTGATCCAAATCTAAATAAATAAAGAATGAAATAAAAGAGCCGATGGTCAGAACTTGGTGTTTGATCATGTTCATCACAAAACAAAATTAATTCTTTTACTATTCATTACGTCTCTGCAAAAATAAATGAAAATACCTTCAACTGATATTGGCGTTGTTTCATCAATTGTCAATGGTGAAGATGTAATATTTTCTGGTGATTGTTGTGGTGTTGCATTTTCTATAGCTTGCCAATATTTTCTTTTTCGAAGACTGTATCGACAAACTAATTCATGATCAGTAGATGATTTTGCACGTGCTTGTGGAATTTTGCCAGAGTTTGAATCTGACATGACTAGAAATTACCTAGAAGATCAATTAAAATTTGATTTTTCCCTTGACTTTAGTCTAGGGACATCTGAAATATCTACCGCTGCAGAGAGACAAAAAGCTAAGCAAACGTTTCTGTATGCCGGGGGTAGATGTCGCCAGATAGCAGTCAACTGTGGCAATACAAAAAAAGTGGTCTACGGGTAATAAAATTGACAGTGTAGTGGTGTTTTAACGTTTATGAGGGACTTGTTGTGATTGATCTCACAATCATTCATATCTTAATAGTCTCCCATCACCTGTCGGAGAGATATTTTGCTCTCTATACAAAATTTTGTCAATACATTCTCAACTAATGTTTTTCTTTACACTGAATTTTGTTCACGTTATGCGCCAGAGGACCACTATTAGTACTCAGACGCTTGTGAATAGTGGCTCGTATACTTTGATCATTTTTCAGCACAAATAAATTCTTCATTTCATCCAAAACAATTGTCATGCGATTAAATGATGACCGATTCAATCTACCTGTTTGCTCTTGTGTCAGGTTTTGATAATTAAATAATTGCTTCAATACTATGTATAAAATACAAATAACTTCCACGTTTAAATTATTGAGAAACTGAAGAACCCTCAAAAATTGTATTCTAGGACACGTGAGAAAACCGATTTTTACATCTTTAAGATTGTATTCGAGATTTCTTTTAAGGCGTTCTATCGATTAATGCTTGTTTCACGCAATTTACTGAATATTATGTGTATCAACATACGTGGACTATAAACGATCGCATTCTAGGAGTTCATTCTTCAGAAAAATCGATGAAGATTTGAAAAGTTTGATTTTCTCATAGAGTAAAATTTTTCTGTGTCAATTATAAAAACAATGTAGTGAGATTCGTGCATGCGCTTTTTACAAATATGTGTCAAAATCTTCGTCAGATAACGAATCAGAATCTTCGACTTCTGATAAATTGTTCTTACTACTATTATTGCCATCAGCATTATCTAAATGAAAATCTTCTTCCGTTATAGACGCATTAAGTTGTTCATAGAGTGTTGAGGCTTTACTAGAATATATAAGTCGATCATAATGTCTTTTAGGATCACTATGAATTGTTGATAAATTACTATAAATATCATTATTACCATCATTGTTATTATCACATTCTTCGAGTTCAATTTCAACAAATGATGCACTGCCATGCATACTCTTATTTTTATTTATTTTTTTAATTTCAAATATCGATAATGGTAATATCAAAACTTCCTGTTCATCTTCTATCGCAGACATTCGTTCTATATCTATTGCTTTAGTACTTTTACCTTTTATAATATATTTACAAATAACAGACACTTGCAAAAGTTTATTCATCAAATTTGATGTACGACGTAAATGTTTGTCGTTTCCTTCACCAGCATACAATTGTGCTACTGTTAATGCTTTTGTTGTTGATAGAAAAGGAGTTAGTCATTCAGGACGAATGAAAAAAATAGTATTTTTGTCTCCTTCCTCCATCCATCGACACACAGTGGGCAACCAGGCAGATATAAAACGAAACAGTTATTTTTCAAAGTTTAAACATTGAAATAGTTACTTCTGTTTTTGATCTATCTTGCCTGAAATAGCATTTTCAGAAATTAACACATATTAAGAAACTTGTTCAAAAATCGCTATCCTCAGATAAAGGTAATTTTTTGCGCAACTTATTGAAATAGTTTAATTTTAAAAACTATCTGGAAATAATTGTTCATCTATGAACTCCATTTTAATGAAAAGATCGTTTACATTGAATTCAAATTGCTAGAGAAAATAAAATCTATTAGGCTAAAATGGAGTATCAAAAATGCATCATTCTGTATTTTGTAAACGTTACAAACAGCTAAAGTCCAATCAAGCTCAAGCATTCGCCAAATACTCCTCTAAGTGTGTTCTACCATTGACCATAGTACCAAATTAGCGCCAATGATTTTGGACTGTGCTGGAGGTTTTCCAAAAAACCATGGTTTTTGACCCCAAATGCCTTTTTTGGGACTAATATAACATTTTAGCGCAAAACCAAGTTGATATTAAGAATTAGCTCGAACCATATACAACATGAAGTTTTCCAGAAAATTTTTCTAAATTTTCTATGCTAAAAATGTTTCGGGAAATTCATCATTTCGCATTTTGTAAACGTTACAAACAGCTAAAGTCCACTCGAACTCAACCTTCTGCCAAATATTCTTCTATGTGTGCTCTACCATTGATCATAGCACCAATTAGTGCCATTGAGTCTGCATTGTGCTGGAGGTTTTCCAAAAAACATGGTCTTGGGAGTTCCAGGACTGTCATTAGTGAATATTGGTAGCCTTGAAAACGAATGCACTATAAGCAATCCATCATGCTAAGGCTCATGGCAATATTTGTTTTTAGAAAAGTTCTAAAAACCTACCGGAAAACCAGTTTTACGAAAATTTGTGTTTTCAGGCTGTTTTCATCTAATATTAAAAAATTCACTAATTATCACTCAAAAAACATCAGAACAAGTTCAGAACTTCAGAATGTAGAGTACTTCAGCTAAGCTATATCCTATTTATAGGAGATCTTGAACTAAAGTTAACAAAACCCTAAGGTTTTCCAAAAGGATGTCTGGAAAACCTATCAACAAAAACATGCTTTTCGATTTTTTCGATCTTATAGCCACGTTATATTAATCATATCCTGGGGTTTTGAGCTTGTTCTGATGTTTTTTGAGGGAATAATGAATTTTTTAATATTAGACGAAAACAGCCTGTATAGCCCTAATTTCCGTAAAACTGGTTTTTCGGTAGATTTTTAATTTTTTTCCAAAAACAAATATTGCCACGAGGCTCAGTATGATCGATTACCCATATTCCACCCGTCTTCAAGACCACCAATAGTCACCGGGCGTCAGTCCTGTGACTTGTAGGAAATCCGATACAACGCGCGAAGCGCGGAAAATCAAGGTCTCACTTCACTCTCATTTTGATTATGAAAACATGCCTCGAAGTCTCCTCTTTCGAATGGCGAAAACCGAAGCTAAACTACTAAATATTTCTAATTGACGAAAATCATTTAAAACACGTTTAAACAATAATATTTAACATCATAAGAGTTGAGTTTCAGTGGATCTGCATGTTAAAAACTAAACCGACACTAATAGTTGCTTGTTCAGCTAAACTTTTAATTAAGCGTATAAATATACTTGATTTTGCAGCGTAAGTTGCAACTTTACGTAGGTTGCAACTTTTATTATTTTCTTACCAGCAAAAGATGCTGTCAATTCTCCATGTGCAGAGACAGAAGCCAAGTTCACGATGATCAGTTGTTAACATGCAGGCCGCGTCCGCATTGTACATTGAGTTAAGTAAGGATGAGAGGTGAAAACTTCGTTGAAAGAAATACTGCTATGATTTGCTTCTGGCGAAGATGCCCTTTCTCCGCACTCGTACACTATTGTCACAAAGCTAATATTTTTCCAGTTTGTCAACAAAACTTCGAAGCTGAATAACAAGTTTGGTTAGAATATAAAGAGAAAACACTACTTATAAGTGTATGCATAGCATTAGAGAATTTGATGCAGCGCGGCGAAAGCACCTAGTTTTCTAATGGTAGCTCAATGCGTAAAACCCAAGGGGGAAACAGCGGACTCCAGACGCATGGAGTCATTTGGAGTCAAGTGGAGTCAAGTGAAGTCACTTGATGCGTTGGAGTTAATTGATGAAGTCACTTGGAGTCACCTGATGTGGTGTACTCAGAAGGTAAAATAAAAGATCCTATGAGATTCGATGGACTCTGATGGACTCCGGGGATGTGATGGCGTATTTCAACTGTGAAGGACATTAGCTTTTCAACGAGCTCTAGCTCCCTTGAGCTGTGAGCTAGTATGAACTCGTTAATGGTTTATTCCCAAAACAGAACAAAAGTGTTCCATTTTCGGGAAAACATTTCCATAGCAGCAGATTTTTGTTCTGTTATGGGAATCGACGCCCTTTAAAAGTAAATTTGTTCTGTTTTTTGGAATCGAATTTCATAACACGACATTTTTTCTAGCATGGGAATACAACAATGACAAGTTTTTAAAAAAAGGCTAATAGACCCGGTCAGATATGACTTGTCTGGAGTCAGTTGAAGTCATTTGTAGTCAAGTGGAGTCAGTTGGCGTGTTGAAGTCTGGAGTCCGCTGTTTCCCCCTTGGTAAAACCACTACTAACCACAGAACCGCTCGAACTGTCAAATCGCTTTTTGGGTGAAACGTGGTGGGTTCTAGCTTATCGACTATGCTGATTCTGAATATAACAGTCATTTTGGCGTACGGGCCTTCAGTGACCGGATTTCTGGAAAAGCTGTTTTTCAAAGCTGGGATCCAAAATAACTAGTATTCGCCGGGTTTTTGAGTATAAACTGAAACTCCATCTACTTTGTAAGACGGGAGGAGTTCCACAAAACTGGTAAGATCATAAGAGTTCTTGTAACTTTTCTCCTGACTTTTTATCAGAATCCTATAGGAGTTTTATTCGTTTCTTACAAAATTCTTACCATTCTCGAAGGTCATGATCTTCTATTATGGTTTCGCATATCGCACTTTTTTTGCTGAAAAACTGCCCTATTCCTCCTCCCTACAAAAAAAGTTTTTCAAAAATTTTCGCTCCGGACTGGTCTTCTATGAAGGGTGGCTTTGTGTTTGGGGAGGCACATGCATTTACTCCCACAGGATCGTTTTTTCGTATTTATTGCATTATAATGCGTTAGGCATGTCTTAATGCCTTGTAATGTCTTAGCTGTTCTATTGTGTTATAATGCGATAAACTTAGAAAAAACATGTCTTTAACGCACTAGCGTAACGTGCCACGTGCTAAAAAATTGAAATTATAGTGTTATAACGCATTTTTAGCAACGACTTCTCATATTTTATAATGTTACAACGCTATAAATTCGTCTAACGCGTTAATAGTTACAAGGCGTTACTAATTTCTATCGCATTATAACGCGTTACACATTGATGTATTATACCGCTGGAATATCTCACACATTTTAACATTATAAATTTATGGCATTACAATGCATTAACTATTCAGGCGCTGTAACGCTATATGTGACAGTGGTAATAACTGTGCTGTGGGGGTTTATATCCTAAGTCCCAAGTCAGTAACGTATATGTCTAATACACGGAGAAAAAAAAACCGTGAAACTCATGACGGTTTTTATACGCGGTTTCTCGCAGTCAGTTTGGCATGGTTTTTTTTCACGGTTTTTGTTGTTCATGCTTTTGTTTCCTATGGTTCCTATATGACAGTTTTGCTTTGACGGTATTAAAACTATTAGAAAAACCGTCCAGATAAAACTGTACAAGTAAAACCGTCCACTTTGAAAGGAAAGAAAAAAAGAACAGCTCCTCCAGGAATCGAACCT